AATATAATACCAGACATCGTGATTTTTATATAATCCAGGTGAACATACCAATAAGAAGTGTAATTTATATTAGAATACTATTAATGTTGACATTTTTTTTATATAAATAACTTTGTATAGTAGATTTAAGAAGTATAAAGTTATACAATTTAGTGTACAAGTACGTAAACAAAAAGATATACTCTGGAACACAGCTGTTAGAAGCTGGAAGAATTAATTTAAATAACTCCTTTTGACTAAATTATGGATATTCGAAATTTCGATGTTTCCCATATCATTCGAAGAATTTTGATTCTTAAACACATCATGAATAAATTTATTAGATGACAAATATTTTTTTTCACATTTTATTATTTTTTAAAGATTATCGAATTTTTGTTTAACTTAATTACTGAAATATTTGATAATGCGAAATCATCGTAATGTGCACGACTGTTGCGCGCAGAAAGAGAAAGAAAATGAAAAGTTACACGAAAATTGCAAAATTGCAATGGAATACACGTAAACGAGAAAGACAGAAAACTAGCCCCTATCTTTAAATCTTTGTAATCAATTTCTCTTCTTGTAGATAAACGAGCGATACTACTTTGTTGTCAGATAAATTCGTTGTGCATACTGTACTGATTTGATTTGTGGCAATTAAAAGTAAAAGGCGAAGAGAATACAAAATTTATAGACACTTAACATAATCGGTATTATTTCACACCCTTGACATCTTTGCAGGATATACGAGAATATCGTAAGTATTATAACTTATTGATAATAATAAATATTGATGAAAAAGTAACAAACCTTATTTTCTATATATATTTATTATGCAAATATTATCGAATATTTTTTTACCAATTACGATACTAAAAATTAATCAACATTTGTCGAAAAAGTAAAAAAAAAAAATATGGATATTAATCTTGTGAAATTTGATCGTTTGATACAGTTCTATAAACCATAGGAAATTATGATAAACATTCAAGGTCGTTGATAAAAGATATATTTGTCCTATATAAATTTATGTCCACGCGACATGCACTATAAACTACGAAGATAACATCAAATCACATAAAACTATACAAATATACGCAATGGTTCCAAGAACTGGATCAAACTGGAATCCATTTTGAAGTAAAAGCGGGAAAAATCGGTACAAAAAAATGGTACACGGTTTAATAAGATATTTATCTTTTATTCACGGAAATTTCATTTATGTATCGATAATAATGTATTTATATACGACGTAATTGTAATTCTGTTTGAAAAAACATAATTTTCCACATAAAAAGAATAGTTTCTATTGTTATGTTGATGTAAGTATTTTTAATATTTTTTTCTACTTTCTTCTTTGGGAAGAAACTCACACTCAATTCTAGCTTCTATCATTCTTTATGTATATGTGTTATTTATTCATACATACACAGTAATTTCTATAAAGTTACAAATTATTCTTTGATACCCATCAACATAGCAAAATTTGTTTTTGTTAATAACATATACATAATAATTTATCAAACTTTCATGCTATAAGTGATGTGCCATTGGTGTACTTTCAAAGAACGAGAAACCCTTTCGTTCATTTTATATAACAATAAAATGTAACAACATATTATATCTTGACATATCATATGCCAAATTAAAACTAAACAATCTGTTTCAGATATTTTCTTTACAACGAGTAATTAAAACAGTGCAATAATACTTAATCTTCGTATATAATATTTTATTAAAATTAATTTGTACTTTAGTTTATACTTTCAGCATTTTTATCCTAAACGATGTTTCAAATTTTCGCCATTTTTTATTTATTCTTTTTTTTTTTTTATTATCTAGGGATTTTCTAGAACCTTTAATATATATATAGTAATTATAAAATAATAAAAACTTAAACAAAAATAGTTTATGCTTACCTGTCATTATTTAGTTCGTATATTGAATAGTATGTCTCCCAAAAAACACAATGTTGAAGACAGATTTTTGAAGAACCAAATTGAAATTCGAAAATTTTGTAATTATAAAACAACGTCGTAAATATGACAAATCAATGATTCAATTTTGACTGAAAGCATGCAAAAAGCTAAGTAATCAAGTGTGCTGAAAAATAATTATCAAAGACCAAAATTAAAAATTATGATTATAATATGCAGCAATAAATTGCACGAAACAATTGGATACGAAAAAAAAAAGAAATAAATTTCAAAATGATATTTATAAAAAATACTCCCAAATAAAAAAAAATGTATAAAACCGCGATGTGTGGTAGATGCATTGAATGCTGACACTTTGACGTACTGAAAATGGCATACCTCTATTTAATACTGAAAAAAAAGTTGAATATGATGAGAAACTCGAATGGTTTTTACCTAATTTTAGTATAATTGATTATGGAAACAATAAAAATGATTTATTGTATAATAAAAACTGAAACCGTCCTTTTTTAATTATTTCCTGTCTTTTTTTGAGTTTTTTCTATATCTAATTTTTTTTATTTCTATAAGACTTTAACTTTATTCAAGCAATGTTCATGAAGTTCCATATAGATATAATTAGAGATACAACTAAAACTTTAACCAATATATCTATAATTACTTTCCTCTTACTAAAAATAACCTGTCTATTTCACTCACTAAATATCGTCACTATGATTTAAAATGTTATTATTCTATACAATTTGTTAACAACTCATAACTTATTTAATTTATATGACTATAATTTTAAAAACCAAGGATACTATAAACATACATAAGGGTATATGCATAATAATTTTTGTTACCCTCTTCCAGTCAACATATTTCTAAAATTTTTGAAAATATAATAAAATTTTAAATCATAACGAAAATGATATATCGAAAAACTAATATTTAAATAAAAATGAAAAAAAAAGTAAAAGTACAAAAAATTTCTTTTTGGCGTCTCTTATCGCCAAATTAACAGTTACCTAGTATACTTTACGAAAAAATTTAATGAACTTCTTATTGCCAAACAAATTTTGTAATTACTTCCAATAGTTTCCAAACAAAAGTAAAATACTTATAATGTGTATACGGATCACACCCTACATATAATATATACATATAGGATATTCATCATGACTATATCTAATGGCAGTAATCATAAACAATACTTTTTGTAATGTCTAGGGGATACTATGTATATATATTTGAAAACTTTATATTAACTATAAATGAAATGTAAGAATACGAAAGAATCAAAGAAATAAAAAGTCGGACAAAGTTATGATTTATTTTTATCAATGATAAAAATTTTTATTGTATGACAAAATAAGAAGTAAGTTTGCGAGACTAAAGCAAAAACTTTAATACCAAGGAATATATAGCTCACATCGATTACTTCGATATACGATCAATTATTCACACACCTACGCTATGCTACTTGCCATTGTATTACACTACCTTTAAAAGTACAAGGTTAGATATCGAAGGTCATTCGATTGGATTAATTATCGAAGTGCTTCTTTTGTCTTGGTATTTATCATAAGCTTTTGCAAAGTGATTCATTAGAAACAAATGATTATGTTCATGACACTATACGAAATACATACATATAAAATTTCGTAATTTTGTGCAGAAAATAACTGAAGAAACAATTTGGCTTTTAATAGCAAAAAAAAAAGTAAAAATAAAAATATAAACATATGGGTTAAGTATTATAGGTATTCAAGTATTATATACTGATACCGTAAATATTATAAAATTCAAAATATTAAAATGAATACTATCTGATTTAAGTATATTTATATACAATTTTCTGTTGTACAGATTAATCATACAGTTAATGTTTTAGACATCAATTACATTTTGCACAATTATGTAAAATCACAATTTGGAAATAAACCGGAATTTCTTAAATTATGTAAATTTTTGTACCAGATCGTCATTTGTACATTAAGTTAGCATGTTAATCGAACATATAGGACACCTTTGTCACTTTCTACAGTTCATCACTTGTTAAAACATGCTATAAAAATGTGTAAAGTTCAGAAATAAGCAATTTTTAGTGTACTTTAGTTTTTCTACAATAATAACCATATAAACCTAATACCCTACCCATTTCATTATTTCAATTTTATAAATGTTTCATATTTTATGTTCCTATATTCTTTTTAATTCAAAGTATGAATAGAGTGTATGATAATTTGCTATTTAAAAAATTCAAACAAAAATGTACAATTAATTGCAATTTAAATTGAAAATAATATATATGTCAAAATATTACTGTTAACGCAACTAAAGATTTAAGATTAATATCATATATGTTTGCACATGTTTTATGATTACTTAATTCTACATTTGTGTATAACGCATTGCATTTGTCTACATGCATATTACAATATACACCACTAATTCTTCATATAATTCTGTGTTGTTGTGAGAAGGAGTGCACATAGACATTTAAATAAACACAGTAAAATCAATAGTTGATATTCAACAATGTTTAAAGATATAAATCTCTTCTCACACAATTGCCAATAGCTCGGATTAAGCAAATTTAAAATAAATTTATGAGTTTAATTTATACCATGGCATTTTAGCTATATTTTCAATTGTTCTTAACGACTTAATCTATCGGTGAGAAATTGGTGTTTAATGTTCCCTTATATCCCATATGTACGTTTTTTTAGAACATACTAAAGAATTGCACATGTATAATTTTATCATGTAAACTACATTCATCTTTTTCACAGCCTTCTTGTGAAAATATAATTTAAAAGGTAATTTTAATACATTGTATTTTGCATATATATCAGATATGCTTCTGCAATAGAACTACCTTCCAAACAGAAAAAGAGTTCACATTACTAAAAAATTCAATATCTTTTTTCATTCATATGCTAGAATATTATTCCAAAAATCTGAAACAATTGTTTCGTAGATTTTGCAATAACTATATACAATTGAATATTCTTGTATGTACATTATGCAATTTATCATGCACTAAACTGAAGAATAATTACTCTCCTTAAGAGTGCACTTTGTTCTTTGTCACTGTTATATAATATCTTGAATTATATTCGTCTTTGAAGAACAAATATCGTGGACATTATTTTCATCATGAATATTTTCACTAGCACTATCATTATTATTGCAAATGCTGTCATTTTTTGATTCTTGACTGAATCTTACATTGTCAAGTTTTAAATTTATTGAGCTCTCTGTTTTTGATACACCACTAGCGTTTGTATCATCCAACCCCAATTTTACATCTATAGAAGATTCATTTCTGGATTCTGAACTAAAACAAGAATTATGCAGATTTGTTACAGATTTACATTCAGAATTTGATTCTGAATCCATATAAAATAATTGTGGCGAAAGAGATTGTTCAAGTTTAACCGAGTCATCCCCATTTGTTTCAGTTGATACATTTAACTTTTTTGTTAATTCTGCCCAAGGATCTTCCAAAAAAGATTTCATATCTATATAAGATGATATGTTAATCTGTCTGCGTGCATCTTTTTGGTATCCCTAAACGTAAAAACACAAATTCCGTATTTCTTAATTCTAATAAATTAATAAACATGCGGATAATTAATAATATACTACTTAAAATTACCTTTTTCTGACCATAAAATTGTTTGCCAGAGAGCTTGTAAGGAGAGTATGAATTATTGAAATTTGATTTTGGGGTTGAATGATAATTGTTCCTGTAATGGTTAAATCCACCACTACCTGAATTACGATGATTACGACCTCCAGAACCATGCCAATTACTACTGAGTCTTTTTTGTTCTGGTGTACTAATATTTAAAGGAATAAAGTCATTTGCAGACTGTATATGACCACTATTTGGTGAAGTACACTGATAACTATCACTTTTAATATAACTATAACCTGTCCTACTTTTATGGTCGTGCGACTTCCAATTATAACTTTGCTTCCCTTTGCTACCACTTGGCGTACTTAAAGGAGACTTTTTCATTTTGAAGTTTTTGTTTACACTATACTGTTGTCTCATAGAATCTACAAATATTTACAAATAATGTTTTCTATAAAACGATATACTAAAACGACGCCATACTATTTATCTTGAGAGACGCTACACGACCGATCGATATCTCGAAATAATGGCGTACCTTAAACATCGATCTATCGATTCCAAATGCGGTACGTACAAATATTTCTACATTTTATTTGAATTTCATTATTAATATTTTACTGTTTATTCCCAAAATTTCTTTCAAGCATTTAAACATATTATAAATAATATTTTTACAATCTTTTCTATTTGTTCATATTAATATTTACTAGCACATAAATTGCTAAACAAAATTTTCAAAATTTTATATCAGAGATAATCTTTCCAAATATATATTTAAATAGATTTCTAAAAATATCACGTACATCTATTCAAGTCTTAAAGAACTATGTAGATATTAACGAACAGAATTCTTTATTACGTTCAGATATAAAATTAATTTTACATTATAAGTTATAAAAATGTATAGCCTACAATATTACATTATATAATAAATTTCAATTACTATCGCAAAAAATAGGTTATCTTTTTGATATTTTTACCAAATTTTCACTTGTTTCATTTATCTTATCGTTATCTTTTTCATAATTTATATTGTATAATTATAATTACTCTAACATTTATGCTATGACTAACTATCAATAATTTCTTTTAAAATTAATTCGAGATTTTAATTATTTCCCTCCTTTGCATCCACGCAGTATGTGCTTCCATCTACAATAAAATAGTCCGAAACTTCATGGTTACCAACCGTAAAATGTTACCATATTGAAAAGATCGCGCCGGTACAGGTGGCGCTATAGCGAGACACTCACGACGCATGTGTAATGGCGCTGGTGCGTCAAAGAGCAGCGACATTGCCGCAGATGCAGCGAATGCTTCGTCTAGTATAGGTAGAGGAGTTTAGATCGTGCTTCGATTCGCGCACGTTCGTGAGAGTTTATATTCGCGATGGACGGCTTGGTACCTGTTGCACGACCCGGCGCGGACCGGTTCGAGTCGTTCACATATCGACGTTTGTCGTAATAGAAAAGTGATTTATATTCCGGCGAGGATGAATTGTTGCGATCATCATTGTTGACGTTTCTCGTGGTGTGACAGTACTGGCCACCACGGTTGCCGTGCGTCACGATTTTCGTGTGCAAGAACAGCGCAGGATATAGTAGCCACGACTGAAACAATGGGGATCGTGCAGAGCCGTGCCGGCGAGAGCGATGGCGGTGTGCGTGAGGTGTTCATTGGTGGTATCAAGGGCGGCACGCCTCTTCAATCCTGTCAACCTAGTCTCGGCATGGGAAGTTTGGGTGGACCGCACGCACGGAGTGGCAGCGTCCGTGGCGCGCCAAGGCAACCTATGCCTGACGCTGTGGAACTCGAAAGGCGCTTCACCAAAGTGCTGGTGAGTGAAATATCTTGTGCTTCTATTTCTTTGCTTTTTTTTACAGTTTCTATTTCACGTATCTGGCATGTATTGTTCGAATTAGATACGGAAGTTTACTTTAAATGAATAATTTTTTAATGCGGTTCGCAATGAGATAGTGGAACTGTCAATACAGGTACAGGTAGGGTTGGATTTCTATGACTGTATAAAGATGTGCTATAACCATTGCCGGCGGCCTGGCATGGACGCATTGATACGTTATTTTTAACAACACGGCATTTTCTCCAGAATATTAAAATTTATTTGTCGCTTTATTTTCTCTGGTTTTTGCTACTGTAAATATAAACCATTAATTATGTTATTTGTAAGAAACGATTTTCATGAAAGACAGGTATAGTTTGGACAGTTGTTATATGTTTATCTTTCTTTCATTTCTAAAAGTAGTATTGTTTGCCTTCGTTAAAATGCATCGATGCATTCGGTAATTCAGAGAAATGTGCCTCGATGTGCATACAAACGATGCTTGCAAAGCTATCTTTTGTAACGCTATACAGGTTCCATTTGTGCCGACGTGCATGAACGTTGAGAGTAATAGGATATTAATCGAATCACTTTGATCGACTGTAAATCACGTGGCTCGCCGACTGTCGAACAATCCAGTTTACGATAATAGACAGAAATCCGTCCTATAAATGTATAACAAATCCAATCACCAGACAGAAATAAAGGTGGTGATTGATAAATTCGACAGATTTGGAAATATGCTGTGCAACGGTGAGTTTGATGTGCTTTTTACTTTCGTGTGTACGACGTTGATGTAACAGCACGATCATACGTATCTTTACTATCCTCGAGGTGTAATGTAAGTAACAAGCTGATCGGTATCAACACGTGTGGCCCGTAACATATAGCTACTAATACTTGAACTCGAGTGAACTTATGACAGTGGTTCTCTCCACTGTCGATATTTATCTGCATTGCAGTGAAATTCGGATACCAATAAAAGGAAGTATTTTCACTCCGTCCGCCATCTTTGTATTAACAGAATTATTTTAATTCCAATTTGGTTAAATGTTTTATGAAATCGTATAAGAGAGAAAGCGTAAGTATAATTTGAATAATAAATTATAAAATTCTGATAACGTAGATTGGAATATCCTAACCTCAAAAAACGTTTTGCCATTATTCGAAGCAGGAATCGATCGCTTACATCGAGGGTCAGTGATTTTTTCTCTTGGGATGAAATGTCGAGAGGTCGGAGGCGAGAGTCCATGCGACGTGAAAGAGAGATGGACGAATGAGAAAGAATATATAGAAAGATATACGCCTACGTAGAGACAGCTCTCACCAAATAAGATTCGATTGTGCATCGAAACGACCATCGCAACAACTACGAACATACCATAAACAAAGAGACCCCTTTACGACACGCATTAACTCGCGGTCATCCGTCTCATTATCTGTCTATCTAGTAGTCTCGTCATCTTGGCATTTAACCTTCGAGATTTTGCCTCTTAACATCGATAATTTCCACCATTTTAATAGTATAAATGAATCTCGTTGTATTTTTCTATCGAAATCCAATCGTTTACGATATATTTAATACCATTGCTTATCATAGCCTTTATGAATCGAGTACTTTGTTGGCCGAATAAAATATGATTTTTATAAAAATCATTTTTCATGGTCAATATCTTAATGTGCTGACATGGCTCATTGATTCTTAAAATTATTTAATAAATATGATATATTATTCACTGGTTTTAACAAAATTTGAATTAAGAATTATTCTTTTTAAATAGAGAATTATTTAAATATGATTTGTTATGATTCTTAAAATTACTTGACAAATATTATGTATTATTCACTGATTTTTACAAAATTTTAATTAAAAATTGTTCTTTTAAAATAGAGAATTACTTAAATATGATTTTGTATAGCACACTGTAATGTATATGAGGATAGGAATGATATGTATGTATCATTGATTCTTAAAATTACTTGACAAATATTATATATTATTTACTGGTTTTAACAAAATTTTAATTAAAAATTATTCTTTTAAAATAGAGAATTACTTAAATATGATTTTGTAAATACACACTATAATGTATAATGGGATAGGAAAGATATGTATGTATCAGACTATCATGCTACATGTAAATATAATTTCTATTTGTTTTAAAATAGTAAATAATTTGATATAATGTTACTGTTAGGTTTCTATCATGTAACCTTCTTTCCTTTAAATCATAATTCAAGTCTATCTAGCAAATATACTTTGTCTTGTAATCACAGTCTAATCAAGAATTCACAGTCTCATTGCATTAGTATATTTATTGCATTTTAATAGTAATAGTTAGTAACAGGTGTTACAGATGTAATTGTATAATAATTGATATAAAAATTAATGACAAAATGGAGAAATAAATTACAATGAAAATTTACTGAAAGAACAATTTATTTATTGCTAAGCTTCAGTTTATATAATTTTTAGTCTCTCTTTTTCCTCATAATTCTTTCCTCTCAGTCTCTCTTTATAAAATCGTGATATATAATTTTAATTCTTTGAATGCCTTTTGAATGAAGGTGTAAAGTTTGTTAAATATTGTAATAAAAACTAAGTTTAAAAATGTATAGCGACAAATTTTTCAAACAATATTGCGTCCCGTAACAGTTTCCCATTTGATAAAAGAAAGTGTTTCATAAGTCAGCACATAATCACGGTTATTTTAGTAGCCGAGTCATCGAGTCGGAAAAACGTTGATTATCGTGCGGAACGCATCAATAAAGTTAGTAATTAAAGTTATGTGTATCGTTGGGGGCTTTCCATAAAATGATATTAACTCTTTTCAACTTCGACATTATGATTCGTTTCTTTCTTTTCATTGCAAGTGTAAAAAGAACCGTGTATTCGATATTTGTCTGTGACTTTTTAATAACATATTATTAATGAAAAGCTTGAAAGTTAGATAATTTAATTAATTAAATATGTATTCTATTTATTGATATTAATTCAATGTTTAATTTGCTAAGTGATATTGGTTTAATGTTGTTTAATTTATTTGTATAATAAATTGTGTTGTAGACATATCTATTAAATGTATTTGAATTTTCTAAAATATAAATACAGGAAAATTTAGAGAATTAGAACATTAATCTCAATTAAATTCTGATCAGTGAAATTATACTTATTTATAGTCTGTACTTAAAAAGTGTTATATATTGTATAACATTTAACATTCGATTTTAATCATTTTTCTCCTTTTTATTAATAATTTTAATAATTCAGGAAAAAATTACAAAATTATATTTAAAATTATTAGAATTTACATATCTATGTATCTAGATATCTTTACTTTATTTGTATACTTATAATTGTATCTAATAACTTATTACTGCACCACAAATGCATTCCTCATAAATTAAAAAATTTTTCTTAATAAATTGTTCTTATATACAAATTTTAAAAGGATAATTAAAATATATAATAGTTTTTCATATAATATTATTTCCTAAATATAGGTTCATAAAATTAATAAAAAAAATTTAATTTTTTAATTTTAAAATTTTAATAATAGATTTCAATTTTTGTATTGTCTTTCAATAGATGCAAGAGTTGACCAAACAAATTGAAAATCGAAAATTAATCGAGAAAATCAGACTAATCTATTGCAACCATATTTTTTCTTTTTAAGTAAGAATTGGTGTTGACTCGGATGTCGAGTATTAGCACTTTTGTCCTCTGGTATTAGCTGTGTTTATTTTACTGACCAAACGAAATTCCAGGAATAAGAGTTTGCAGCAGGTTCGGTATTGTCAACGGCACAAGTCCAAATGTTTCATTAATAACCTGACTAATGAAAAAGGCAATGAGATTGGTTTAAAGTAATTAATAAAATATTAAATATGTACAATGTTTAAAATCTTTTTATTTTATATTTTTATTCATTTTATAATTACAAATTTTAACATAATTCTGAATTTCAGATTAATTCTCAAATTTTTATTCGATAAAAACTATAATTAATATCTAAAAATTGTCACTAATATGTATCACTATTATAAGAACGTATAAGCAAACCAACTGTAATATTAACCCTTTGGCGGGTAAGCGTTTTAAAGCAGCCTTAAGGCGATTTCCTACTTAACACACTAGCGCCACTCACTAACGCGGTTCGTATCCATGATAAATGTATCATAAATATCGTATATCTCGTTGAATTATTTTCTAATTTTACTGATATATCCTTGGAATTTTCTCCTTGCTATATGTGTCATATTACTTGCATAATATTGATACAAACTTTTTAGTCGTACTCGTTAAACTATTGTTAAACTACTATTATTATTAAAATGTTAAATTATTATTCAGTTAAGGACATTTGTATTTTATATTTTTTACATGCTATAAATTAGAGTTCACAAAGATCGATTATAGTGAGCAATTATAATAATCCTAAAAATTTCTGGCATACCAGTTTAATCATTATGATGATTTTATACAACGAATGTTCAAAATAATTATAATATAATAAATCAGAGGTTGAAGAAAACGCGTTGATATGAATTTATGTAGCACGATTTCATTTAAAATAGTTCTATGATTTCGCTGTAGGACTTAAAAAATTTCAAATCTCGAGGATCTGTGCGATACTAATGATCTTTTGATAGTTTAACAGTGCTGCTTAAAATAATCGTGGGATTTCGTTCCATTATAGATGCTTGTCCGTGAGTCACCGGTAGTTAGTCGTGCATCGTGTAGAAACCGCGGTTTGACTCACGAGAATCGTTCCAGGGCCACGCGAAAGTTTTCCTTGGTCTATCCGTGTCTCCCATTCTAGGAGCGGAAACTCAATATAAGTATGTACTCTGCAGCCTCTGTTCTGCTCTTATAGGCTTCGTGATTAAAGGTCTTATAAGTAACAGAAGCTTTTATAAAATCTAGTTTGACTGTATATTTTTTAAACGTTATCTTAGTTTCTATTTTATTATTAACTTGACACTAAAATTATCAA